ATGATGCCGGGCTCTACTTGCACGCGGATCGGTGGCGGCGGTAACGGGCCGGTCGGCATCAAGAGGCGAGGTTGTTGTTCCTCTCTGGTCTTTTCTTCGGTTTCCCGCGGTCTTTTGCGGGCCGGGTTGCTCGCTGGTGGTCGTGAGCGGGCAGGCGGCGGTGGTGGAGCCTGCATCAGCTGCTCCATTTTCAGCTGGTTTTGTCGATCGGAACGCTGGATGAGTGTTCCGATTCTCGGCGGTCGGCTCGGCGGTCGGGCGGCTGGGCCGGTCGGCGGACGGTCGGTCGTTGGCGGCTTCTCATTGCCGGCTTGGCTGGTGTTCGGCGTCGGCGGCTGGTATTGAAATCCTGGATCGTCCAGGATCTCGTTGATGGCAGCTAGGATGTTTTCGGGATCGCACATCTTTGCTATCTGTGCCGTTAGAGCTGGAGTTCGGCTGTTTATCCCTCTCCGTCGGTAGTGGGGGTATCATCCTCGTCCTCGGGGTTGTTATTGTCGCCGTTTTGTTTGGTCTTTGCGACTTTGAGATCCTGAATGTGTACATGTTTGTACCATTTTCCCCGTTTGCTCCTCAGGTCTACGATTACTGGCGAGATAATTCGACGAACTTCGAGCGGCCCGATATATTTCGGTGCAAGTTTTGCGTTGAAATTGTCGGCTTTCTTCGACAGTGGGTGGTCTTTCTTCCACACCCATTCGCCGATGTGCGGTCTCCACTCTCGTCGCCGGAGATTGTAGTATCGCTCTTGCCGCTGGAAAGCTCTCGCAAGTTGGATTCGGACGATTTTATAGGCGTCGTCTAGTCGTTCTCGTGTCGTATCTGGTGACGTCCTCTCGGTTGCTGGTGCGGTGCGGTGCGGCGGTACGAGCTCTCGCCCGTAATTGACATATGCCGGCGTATAGCCGGTGGCATCGTGTACTGCCGTATTAAATGCGAATTGAAATGCGGGCAGGTGTTCGTCCCAGTCTCGATGGTCCTTGTCGACGAATTCGCTGATCATTGTTTTGATCGTCTTGTTGGTCCTTTCCACTGGGTTGCAGTGCGGTGCATAGGCGGGAGCGGTCTTATGCTGGATATTGAATGCGCGCAGTCGGTCGTTAAATTCCTTGGAGGTAAACTGCGTGCCGTTATCCGACAAGATTGATTCCGGTCGGCCGTGTCGAAGGATGACTTTCTCGGTGATGGCCTTTGTAATGGTTTTTGCGGTGGCTTGGCGGAGCGGTGTTACTTCCACCCATTTTGAAAATCGATCTTGCATTACGTAGAGCCACGTGTGGCCCTGTCGTGAGCGCGGTAAGGGCCCTACGAGATCGGTAGTGACTTGCTCCCATGGGCGCTGAACGTCGGTCGCGTGGAGCTTTCCGGCCGGTTGTTGTTGGGCCACCTTGTGCTTCTGGCAAGTTTCGCACGTGCGTACATATCCGGCGATCGCCCGGAACATCCCCGGCCAGTAATAATGCTCGGCGATGCGAGCGATTGTTTTCGCGATCCCCAGGTGTCCGGCGGTTGGTGCGTTGTGATAATTTCGCAGCACCGTGTGGCGTTGATCCTCCGGCACGCACTCCTTCCATTGTTCCTCCGCGGCGTGCTCCTTGAAGTTCAGGCTGTGTAGGATATGGCGGAACAGTTTCCCGTTGCTGATCCGATAGTCCGGTCGGCTGGCTGGTTCGCGCTCGACCTCCGCGAGGATTCGTTGGTACCAGCGGCACCGGCGTGCGGTCGCGGCGCAAAGCTCAGGTTGTCGCGATAGGGCGTCCGCCACTCGGTTGAGCGTGCCCTTGCGGTACTTGACCTCGAGGTCATATTGCTGGAGCTCAAACAGCCACCGGGCGAGTCGCCCGGTGGGAGCCTCCAGGCGCTGTAGCCATTTTAACGACTGGTGGTCGGTTAGTACGGTGAAGGAGTACCCCTCGAGGTAGCCCTTCATTCGCCGAATGCCCCATACCACCGCGAGGCATTCTAGCTCGGTGGCGCTATAATTACGCTCGGCGCTGTTTAATGTCCGGCTCGCATACGCTATTACGCGCTCCCCTTCCTCGAAGTATTGTGTCAGGACGGCCCCGAGGCCGCTGGTGCTAGCGTCGGTTTGTAACACGAATCGGCGCGTGAAATCCGGACAGGCGAGTACCGGTGCTGAAATGAGCGTCTGTTTTAGTTCGCGGAACGCGTTCTCTTCTGCGGATCCCCATGCCCATCGTGCGTTTTTCTTTGTGAGCCGGGTGAGCGGTGCGGCGACGGTCGAGAAATTCGCGATGAACCGCCGGTACCAGGACGCCATCCCCAGAAACTGTCGGACTTGCTTGACGTTTTGTGGCTCGGGCCAGTTGGCGACGGCACTAACCTTGTCGGGGTCGGTTCGGATCCCGTCGCGGTCGACTACGTGCCCCAGGTATTTCAACCGATCGACGCAAAAACGGCACTTGGCCGGGTTGAGGCGCAGGCTTGCCTCGCGTAGTCGGCGGAAAACTTCGGTGAGTAATTGCAGGTGTTCCTCGAACGTCGCGCTTATGACGATAATATCGTCCAGGTAGACGAACACGTTGGGTTCGAGGGCTGGTCCTATGATCGTATCTAATAGCCGTTGGAAGGTGGCCGGTGCGGAGTGTAGCCCGAAGGGCATGACCGTAAATTGATACAATCCCCGTCCGGGGATTGTGAACGCGGTGATCGGTCGGCTTGCGGGTTTGAGCGGTATCTGCCAATATCCGTTTTTTAAGTCCAGTGTCGTTAAGTATCGCGCGCCCCGTAGTTTGTCGAGTGTCGCGACTACTTGCGGTAACGGGTAGGCATCTTTTTCCGTGGCATCATTGACCTTGCGGAAATCGATACAGAACCGGTACTTTCCGTCTTTCTTTTTGACGAGTACTACGGGCGAGCTCCATGCGCTTTTGGATGGTTCAATGACGCCGGCAGCCTCCATCTCGGCTACTTCCCGGTCGATGACCGCTTGCATCGCAGGGTTGCGTGGTCGGTAGCGTTGTTTGATCGGCGTCGGATCTCGCAATCGTATCTCGTGCTGTACGCGGTCGGTTGGGCCCTGGATGTTCTCGAATTTCGTTAATTCGTGTTCGAGGAAGTCCTTTAGTCGTCTTTCTTCCGTGACGGTTTGCGGGGTCAGCCCCCCGGTCGTTCCGTGTAGCATCGGGGTGTTCGCTCGGGGGGTGTATCGAGGCGGGGCCAGGCGGATGCCGGTACGTGCCCAAAGATCCATGCCGATTAATATCGGGCTCTCGAGGTTCGGCAGGATAGCGAAGTCGTGCTGATACATGCACTTCCCGATGCGGATGGGCAAGGTGATGGTGTCGGGGATCCGGGTGGTTTCGCCGTTCGCGAGTTGTACGTCTCCTTCGTGCCGGTCGATGGCGTGCCCCCCTCGTTGCGCGTGGGCGGCCGTGTCGTCGTTAACGAAGGATATTTCGGACCCCGAGTCGAGCAGGGCGTCGTATCGGCTTTGATCTACTCGGACGCGTATGTGCGGCCGCGGCGTGAATCGGATGCGGGGCTCGGGGTTCTGGCGGCTGATGTGGTGACCCCGGCCCGCTCGTCGTTTCCCGCCGGTGGGTGACATTGCTGGGTTAGCACGCCGTCTTTGCCGCACCGTGAACAGAATTTTCGCGGCGGGCGTTTGCAGTTGAAACGTGTATGACCCCGTTGTTTGCATCGCCAACAACATTCCTCCCGGTTGTAGGCGGCGGCGATGATCGGTTTCGACGCTTCTGGCCGGCGGTGCGTCTGTTCGGCTGCGCACTGTTCGTCGATTTCTTCCAGCTCGGTGGCTCGTGCCTGAAGGTCGTCTACGACGCCGGCTTCATCATACGTGATGAGCCGCTTTATCTCCGGTCGCATGTTTTGATAGACGCGCTCGTACTCTTCTTCCGGCGTAAATCCGCCGGCCCGTCGCATCAGCGTGAGTATATCTGCGACATATTTCTTGAATTTCTCCCCCGGTTGTTGGCGGCGGTCGGCGGTCTCGCGGCGGAGGACGGCCTGGTATCGGCGGGGCAGGAATTGCGCGCGGAATGCGCGTTCGAAGTCCCCCCAGGTCTGCCATCGATGGCGGGTGTTGCGGCACCACCGTAGGGCATCTCCCCGCAGTAACTCAGGGAGTCCCAGCAACATCAAGGTCTCGGGGTATCGATGTCCGGCCTTCAACTCCTCTAAGCGTTTGAGGAAGTCGAACGGGTCGCGTCCGTCGAAATGACACCCCCATTTGCGCATCTGACACAATACCTCGGAGCTAGTGGGGGGCGCGGGGGTCGCGGTATGGGTCGGTGGTGCGGTACGCGGTGGTGTATTGGCCGCGGTCGTGGGCTCGTCGCCCTGCGCCCCGAATTCTTCGGGGTGCTCCTCGACGTACTCGGACATCCGTCGGCGGATGTCATCAAGCGTTCCGGACGTGTCCACGCCCCGGCGGACGGCGGCCTCCACCAGTTGTGTTTTGTGTAGATTATAAATCCACCCTTTCATTGTCGAGTCTCCCTATTCTCTCGTCTCGTTAAGGTAGGGTTCGTGTCTCGGTACGGACTGGAAGCAGGTCCCTGTTCGGGCGCCAATGTAACAAGCCGCTTTCGCGAGGCGGTGACGGATAACTCGGTCGGGATCCGGGGCTCGTGAAAGGGTATCGAGAGACGAACAAAAGTGATGTTAGGTAAAATATAATTTATTGCGTGTCGTGGTGTATATGTACAGCATGTGTATTTTATGTGTGTAAGCGTGTATAGGTGTGTGAATAAATGATTATGTGTGCGAGACGAGTGACGAGGGAGTGAGTGCGCAAAACGTATGACAATGATTAGGTGAGCGCAGCGTATCGTATGTAAGATCGTTATGTATGAGCGAGTGATACAATCGTGTGAGTGCGTGTCGGTGTAATTCGCTGTGTGCGTGACGCGGTCGCCCGTACGGCGATACGGCGGTGTGCGATGTATAAATGCTTATAATCGGTTGAATTTAGATATGATATACATGCGTATACAATGCTGAACGGATCGTGGTGCGGTCGTATCGGGGCGGTGCATTCAATGCAACGCACGGATGCGTTGCGCGGTGCGCGATTTCGGCGGATCGATAGAATATCGATTATAGATCGCGGACAGCGATTTCGGCCGAGGCCGTTATCTATCGGGCGGTAATTTCGGTCGGCCCGGTGGGCGGTCCTTCGCCGCGTACTTATTGATGGCGGCTATCGATCGGTGTCGCGGTAGGGATGTGGATCATCCCCCGGCGCGGGACTTAGCGCGCCGTATCAATGGCGAGTCCGGATGTCGTAATGGCGGTCGCGGATGTCTTCGATAAACGCGTATAACGCGTTCTGTATTACGTCGGGAGCGTGGTCTTTCCCCGTGGAAATGCAGAAGTGCAACGGCTGACGAGAACACCCGTCGGTGGCAGGGAACTCCCC